ATCCTAGACATTTGGTTCATGATGAATTGTCTGCAGTTCTTCAAAAACTTCACCTGATCTTCTGTTGCCACTGCATATCCTTCTGTTATCGAAGGAAGGACTCCACTCTTTCGAAGCTAAGCTAACGAAATTTCTAGGTTGATTCTTTCAGACCTAACGGCAGCATGGTAACGACCACGAAATGCTTTCCTAGTCCAATTATCAGGTCTGAATATTGGACCTCTCCTCTCTACCCGGTGATTGTTTTCACACAGCCGTGTCAGCGTGTATCCTATGTCTGCTTCGTCTTTGGCTATATGCGCAGGTTGATCCTTCGTCAGAAAATAGTCTCCTTTGTTCAGTAGAGTTCAGCGTTCAGCAGAACTTAATGGCATTTATTTCATCCTTGGTAAATATACTATAGTTACAAATGATTTTTGATGGTACATGTGGAAATCGATCAGTGTAGTCCTGGCCTTTCGTTCAAGCGCATCGAGAAGGGTCGCTTTCCAAGTTCATACGACGTTCGAACAGAATCCTTTATCCGCATGATAGAGTCTTGTAAGAAGTTTGTCTTAATTGTCAGTTTTTGGTCGTGAAGGAGGTTTTTATAAGTACGGCTGATGCGAAGAATCATTGTTTCGAACGATCGGATTGTTTACTTCTGTTCAGCGGTAAAAAAGAGCTAGGAATAATGAAATTACAATAATCGAATGAGATACTTCACATTGTCACTTCTTACTACGGTCATATTTGAATTGACGAAGTCATACCGGATTACTCGCAGTGAGTAGGTTAGTCAATCAGTAAGTTTCGATGACCGCGTATCCTTTGGGACAGAAGAGATAGACTCATCACACGCTCTCTCCCGATCCTACCAGCGTTTCAGCTTCGGGAGAAAATAAGCCAAGTCTGGCTGGAACGGAGTGTTTCCACACAGTTGTCACAAGTTATTCTTGTCCACGTCCTTGGTCTTTGACCGCCGGTGGTAGAAGAAAACCTTAGTGTTTGATATTATGATTTGAAAGGAGAGTGAAGGATTGCGAAATTACTTCAATTTGCAGAATTTATTTGATTTTGAGACATTCATTGTTCTTAGATGGAGTACTGTATGTGACATTTCATCAGTTTGATAGATCAAAGAAGTTTTTAGACTCACTACGATGTCATAAATCTTATTCATGATTTAAATACATTGTTCGCCGCACACACAGTAAAAAAGTGTTATTTTATGCGCTGTCGGTTTCGACTAAATTGGTATCTGTCATCATCAAAGGATGGAATAATGACATCTACGAAACTTTCTGAATCAACATTTGCGCAGTTATAAAATTTAATTTACATAAAATAAAAAATAATTATAATCGCAAGAAATACAATAACAAATGGTGCTGTAAACAAAACCTTTTAACCAGTATGAACAATATAAGAAGCATATAGCTATGGTTTGCATTTATACGCATCGTTGATAAGGTTTGCATCACTGTTATACATATACACAGCATCTTTCATACTCTGGTAACTTTGAAAAAAAATAGGTTGCTTTGTGATCTTCCCGTTTTTTGAATCGACATATGGAGACCGGTGTAGGGTTGAGAACATCCCATATATTTTGCGAGCTTCCCGAGTAAAGTAACCTTCTGGAAACAAGTGTATTGGATAAAGGTTTTCCTCTTCACGTTTCTCTATAGAATCATACTTCAGAAAAACAGCATCAACACTTTTTGTAGTTCTTTAATAAACGCTAAGCTTCGCTGATATAACTAAATGGCCTACTCATCACTCTTGGTCAGCATTTGTTTCATTAAATCAATCTGTCTGTAGTAACATGTGCTTTTTAGGTGGTATATGCATGGTTTGTTAACATTCAAACGCAATATTGCTGTTTATTTTGCATAAGACCGGTTAGCAGTGACATATGCTTTCAATAGTTTGCTTAAAATAATCTCCTGAGTTTTGCCTGATGTGCTACCAGTCATCTAAATATGGTGTTCCATTCTGTGGTATATTATAAATCTTTTACCAAATTCCTTAGAAACTCTTTCTCGCCCATCGATGGTTTCATCAGACATCTGCGCATTGAAATGTTTATTAATTATATTCATCTTCTCTTCTCAGAATATGTATTCGTGTATACTGCTTTAATGGCTACTAGACTTACGGTAATGAAAAAATAGCGTAAGACACGGTTTATTTATTCACAACTCAAAAGACATTGTGGTCAGACCATGGAGAGCCTTCTAGCTTCGAAACTGTCGATTGGTACGGACGACCGACCACATTCACACCGCTTCACCACCAGCCTGTCTTGAAGAAGGTCGGTGAGACACAGGCTGAAACGTCGGCATTAGACAGTCACCGAACTGACCATAGTATCTTTTGCGTTCTTTGTAAGTAAGCGATGTTCTGGGCTTTTTACGGTATGACTACCGACGCATGAACGGATTACTGTATCTTTGGATGGACCTACGGTACTGCGTATGGAAGTACGAGGATTTCTTGTCTCACTCAGCATGCCACCATAGTTTCAGTTACGCCATATCTGTTAGTCTCGCGTATGACTTACTACTGGGATTTTTTCAAGAGTGTTTCAAGGATCCTTCTTTGTATTTCATTTCGCTGTATACTGCCTCTTTCTTGCTAACATGTATTGTAACTATCCTTTCTCGAGTATAACGCTGTTACAGAAGACTTTTTTCCACTTTAATTTTGCCTGTCGACCGTCTTCAACGATATAACGCTGTAGCACGATGCACACCACTGTCATAGTTTGGAATCATTTGCTCAATTCCTGAATGTTTTGTATTTTAAGTTGGAATGGAATTTGGAAATTAACGCTGAGGCAATAGGCTTTATATGCACTGAAATCATTCTGATGGAGATCCGTTCAACACAGAAAGAGAGTTACGAATCAGCATTTGATTGTCTTGACATTTCGTTTTTGCCAATAGAACATCATGTGCAAGCCTAATGTAACAGTTTCTGTTGATGCCAAAATTCTAGAACATCTACACTTTATGTATTTTAATTAATAAGTTTATTCGCGTATGCAAAGGACTTGTCATCGGAACGTAAAGAATTCATTCCCCCTTCACCTGAACCAGTAGTATTTCAGGAAGATAACAATGGTCAGACAATGTCTTCATTAACCAGCAGAGATTATTAAATAACTTATTATCCGTTTAATGTCATGCCAGTATAATATGCAAAGCTTCGCCAGGCTTTTCTTCGTATCCTAGGTATCTCAGCATATCAGATATCTTAATGACATGGGATTTAGCGTCTACTGCAAGACAGGAGGCATTTTATTTAAAAAAAAGTACATGGTCATTAATAAATGTGAAGAAATGTTAAATGTATTATGCAATGTTCAATGCAGATATTGTGACAAAGTGTACAATGGAACGACCAACCGGAAATTGAATATTCTGATAAAAGTGCATCTTTCACCTGTCTGTCATAGACAGGCTGACAATTCCGGTATCGTCCAAGGTGCGGTTATTGAAGAGCATCTTTCAGTCAGATTGATGATACGATAAATCGTGTTTACACAGTCTCTGAGAACTCTACTGATCTGAAATGGCATATGGCAATTACAAAGATGAGCTGATTTTCCGTAGAGAGAAATCCTTCGTTTGCTGAATTCAAGCTCAAGGCATCAATTGATGGATTTGGCATTTGTCAAGCGGCACAAGCGGCATTCTGTTCTCTGCCAGATCGGAAGGAACGCTTTGTAGATGGCTTCACAAGAATCGATTACAGCTGAAAAGCACTCACAAAAAGAAATGTGGCTTCATTTTTCTCAGCGGTGAAATGAACCTCGGTGAAATATCCTAAGGCTACAAAGGGCACTCATATCACGCTGTAGACCTCAGTTAAGTTTTAGCACTATAACGACTTCAGCAAATGCATTGATTTGCTTAACCTCTCGTTCATTACAGCTGCTTCACGTATGAGCATTAATAAAAAAATATCATATACCTGGTTTAATATTTTCTCTGTAGTAAACGAGGTGGTATCTGCTGTCGGGTCTTGTATCTTCGTGAACCAGGCCCACTACGTGAAGGATGAGATGCATTACGAGCGCTCCTTTGTAATTCTTCGGAATGTTAACCTCACTTTTTCCAGGCTTTGATGGCTTACCAACTGGAGCATAGGCGCTAGAATAGAATTCGATAAATAATAATATAATATATTTAGACATACAATTGATCACTGCTCTTGATATAAATATAGTATTCTTGACTAACGTAAGGAACGAACTTAACGCATGTCAACTGCTTAACTTGCAAAATCGCGTCTCTAAGGTACGGCTCCATTTCACTGTCTGAAATCAAGATTTAAAAGAAATTTATATTCGTTTTCTAGTTGTTACCAAACGCAGTGTCCACCAGGTAGGGAATAATGCCGCCGTCCCACATGTTTATGTTTCTGATTCCTTCCTGAAATGAAACTACTAAGTGTAATTCTTCAGACTTGTCTCGCAAGTTATCTTGGTGATTGTTCTTGCC